CCCCAGCAGCCCCCGGCGCGCCCCGCCGCCGGGCTCCGGCAGGTGGGGGGCGCCTGGCCCTGGTGCAATACGCTTTTCGTCTCCTCTTTGTCTGCTTTCGTTCTTTATTTCATTTTGTCACTGTGTAAAAGGATCACTTCTCCCCCCCTCCCCTTGTTTACCTTTTCTTTTCAAATCCATGTACAACCCTTTCCCCCCGCCCCCAGCTTAATGTAGGGAAGACAGATTTTCTTTGTTTTCTTAGCTCTTCCTCCTGATCACGTAGGAATTGTTTTTTGGTAAATGTTGTTTTATTATTATTGTTATTAATAAAAGGCAAAAGGAATTTCTGTTTGAGAGAAATTTTTAACTAGATTCTGTTCTATATGAATTGTGACTTGCACCTTTTGTTCAAAGTATTTTATTTCTTTTAATGACATTGTAATTGTGACTGGTTTTCTCTCTCGTGCCAGTGGCGGAAGTGGTATTCTCCTTTATACAGTTCAAATGTGCATAGGTCTCCTCTTTGTTCTTCTTTTAATTCTTTCCTTGAGTGATAGAAAGCAAAGCGCCCTGCAGCAGTCGGGGCTCGGGGAGTACGTGGTGTCATCGTTGCCTTTGGAACTTTACGCGCTACGACAGAAATCCTTCTTATTGACACTTTTTTGGAATTTTTTTTTTTTAAAGAAAAATCGATCCAGCCCTCCTGAATTTGCACAGAAGGAAGTGTGAAACCAGCATGGCAAAGGTTAATTTGCTACCGTTACCAATGCCTCTTCCCTGTCCTCCCTCCTCCTCCTCCTCCTCCTCCCCCTGCCCCCAAAGAAAATAGTGCTCCATGGATCTGCAGTCTCGAAAACCGGAAAGGAGAAAATTCTGCAGCTGACAAACAGCATCTCCCGGGTCAGCGTTTCTGCTGAAATGCTAGTGTCGCGCGAGTGTTGGTGGTGTATAGCTATCGAGTTACGTTCTTAACCTTGTGAACTAGGTGGCATGTGTGTGGGGTCGGGGGGGGATGCGGGGAACCAGGCAGGGCTTGCCGGACTTCAGCGGGAAGATACCAAGAAACCTTTTGCTCTGTACCTTTGATTTGTTTTTCTTTTGTTTACATGACACTGTATTTCTGGGAGAGTTGACAGCCACCCTACAATAAGCATCCAAAAAAAGCAGGGACTCGCTTAACCGTGCCATTTCGCAGTATCACACTTTTTTTTTTTTATCATTGCTTTGTATTGTAGTAATCAATACGCGCAGTATATGTTGAATGTATATTAATATACTTTGCTATTATTTCTGTTTTTTGGAAATGTCAGAAGTATTTTTTCTTCCTCATTTATGTTGGACTAAAAGTTTCAGTAAAATCTTCAGTCCATTTTTTTGTGGGTCACTTGCAACTAGTCAATTAGTTGGACAGTGGGATCATGACAAATAAAACCATGATTACGACCTTCTGTGGCCTCGTGTTTGCGTGGTTGCTCAATGCTGGCTCCGCAGGGGGGACGGTGGGGTGAAGGCTGTGGGCGCTCTTCGTGCCCAGCCTGCTCCGGGGACCCCAGCTGCTGGGGGCGGCAGGGGCCCGCGCGCTGCCACCTCTGCAGCCCCTCGCAGCCCGGCGAGGGGGCGTGCGCCTGATGG